CTTCGATATTCCCAGCCATTTAGAATCAATATAAGTGCCTAGCTCGACCCTGGCTTGTATTGTGATTCCTCTCTCCAACACGTTATGGGCATATACAACAGTTTTATTGAACGAAATTTCGGTGATAAAATACAAGTCTATAATAAAAGAGTAGCCTTCAATAACAAGATAAAACCAAAGTTCAACGAACATCCATTATCCTGATAAAAGAAATACGATTAATTAAAGCAAAAATCAAAAGATCCCGTTAAATAGCAAGAAATCCGAATCAAAAGAATCACCTCTGATTGGTGCTCCAATGCAACAAATGAAAAAGAAAAGAAATGCGACAAATTGGTATGCAGGAATAGTGTTTCAAAATAAAGTTGCTCGAGTAAATGCATGTCATCTCCAAAGGTTTGCTTGCAGAACCATGCAAATAGGCGCATGCTTTGCTTTAGCTTGGAAGCAATGGAATAAAGAATAGTAGCATAGATTAAAGAATAATAGTGTAAAATTGGCAAGCATGAAAAGTGGAGATTTTTGGTTGCAGATAGCGGCATTCATTACGAGAAGTGTAATTACCCTTCTGCTGATTTGAGAAAATTCAATGGGCCATGCAAAAAGTTAGAGAGGAAAGTAGTTCTCGAGCAATTTAATACTGCTATCAGTAAATGCGTGTCCGGGACCTTAACTTGATGCGCTTGCATGCGTCTGGTTTCAGGGGCTGATTGATCTGTATCCATGCGGGATTAAGCTGTTGAAGCACAACTAGAACGGCTATGGCCTGAAAAAGGTGCAAAAGTAACAGGATATAAAACAAAGCATCATCCGTTGAAAGACAAGAAGAATGCAGCTACTACTACCGGCTCAAAGTGGCGAGGCTCTTCCGGCAAAAATGTAACGACTGCGTCTGCAGTACTGATTGCAATCTTGAAAAATATCATCTCCGGCTGCTTATAAGATAAAGAATGCATCGTCGCAAGACAAATTCCTAATGAAAGTTGAACCTAAAATGGCTGCCTAAAGATTTGCCAATGAAGTAATATGATGTAGAGCAAATGATAGAGGGCAATTGTTATAATATCCACAAGAGGTGTAAAACAAACTAAGACAAACTATCCAATAAATTTTCGGGTCCTCCTATGATCGGGGAGCGAGTAGATCAGAATCATAAGCAGACTCAAACAACTATATGCATGAAGGAATGCTTGAGATTGAAGATCAAACGATGCTTGTAACAGTCACCATAATGAAGGCATAGATAGACATATGAGCTGGCTTTCGAGCATCAACATATACGTGAAGCTACGTATGCATTCTACCAAAGAAATTGATCAATATGGTGAAAATCGTTGTGATAGACTAGAAAGGTTGGTCCGATACATCCCCAGGCCTCCAAGGCTGTTTGGCGCTCCGGGAAGAGACAACCCAAAGGTCTCTGTCCCAGTTGACAGACTGGCTGGCATCAGGGCTGTGGTGCCGGATTGCCACCAGGCTGGGTTGTCCAGGTAACAGGGACCAGAGGGCAGACCAATACCTGCCGACAAGAGGGTGTTTGGTGGTGCGTTCATGGAGGCTGCTGCAACTGCGGCCGCAGCGGCAGCTGCCGCAGCGGCGGTTGCCCTGGCGACGGGATCGCCAGACGAAAGACCGGAGGCTGTGGCAGCGTTTGACAGAGACGAGGAGGCGGGGGAAGATGATGCAGATGAGGAAGAGGAAGAAGGAGGTGAGGAAGAAGAAAAGGAGGATGGCGGAAAGGATGAAAATGACGGTGAAGTGGGCATCGGCGCCGCCATACCAATGTGTCCTGAAGCCTGGGATACGTTCGTATGACCCTGCTGGTGAGCGTAGTCAAGTATGCTTGCTCCGAGCATGCCTTTGGCAGCCTCGAATGAAGATGACATTGGAAGGGATGAGAAGGAAATCAGGGTGGAAGAAGACGAGGGAGTTGACGAAGTAATAGGGAGGCAAATGTTGCGAGAGGCAGAGGCAGCCGCGAGAGGAGAGGATAGAGGAGCCAATTGGAGCCCTTCAGCCGTCGGATCTGTTGCCAGACTGAATGCAGCAGATTTCCCATGAGCTGTTGCTGGAGAAACATTGGTAGCATTGTCAGCCCTCATGTTGGAGTGGGCTGCGAAGACGGAGGCAAGTGTCGACGCCGAGGTATCGGGGGTACTCGAGGTTGCGGGGATAATGAAAGAGGCGCCAGTCAACGCAGCGACATGAGGGGGGTGTGGAGGGTGAGTGGCCTGGCCACTTGCCAGACCAGTAGGACCAACTGGAAGAAAGGGAAGTCCATTCACGGAGTTGAGCATAGACGAGCCTAGTACCGAGGATGCCGGACTGCCGGGAAGCTGCATGCTAAATGCAGATGGAGAAGATAAGCCAATAAGGCCACTGTTTATAAAGAGGATATAAAAAGGTACCATCAAAAACAAGAATATATGTAAGACAACCAACTTCAAAAGAGACTTTTATAATCTTATTGGCATGATTTGTATCCTTCTTTTCGCTTAACAAGGTAGATTTACTAGATTTTTGAATTGACCTCTCCTGAAACTGGAGGGCGATTGCCTTATGAAGAAGACCTTAGATTATCGTCCCATAGCCCCCATCCATCCTCTCTGAGCTTTTGACAGTCAACTGACAGACGTAAAAGTTCATTAAACACATTGAACTTGATGCAAACCTACCCATTATGTAGAAAAACTGGTTGGATTCCGGCGAATTCTCACTAAAACGGAATTATAATGAAATGTTATTCATCGACGAGATATAAAAGCGGAGTATTTTTTTATATCTGAATGGAGTACGGTTGAACATATCTTCATATGTCATCCGTCCTAACATTTTTGATGCAATACAGCCCTGTCTTCATTGAGCCAACCGATTTCTGTATAGAATATGCCATTATATTTAGCAAACACAAAAATTCATCGAACGGAATTCAAGTCTTCAAATGTCAAGATTTCTCTCCTTTCTCTTTATTATGAAGAAAAACTATATCAGTCCTGAAGGAGAGACCAGATTTTTGTATATATCAGCTCGTTCATGTGCAGCTTTAATGATATATAATGCTCTAATCTAACTCATTTTCTCTTTCCCCATTCATAATTGACAATATATAGTAAAAAATGGGTGATTACAGAGGGCCAGGTGATGTGTGTATTACTAGTGTATTTTATTGATGCTAAATTGTAAAACAATAATTTGAATCTGAAGAAAACGGTTTTAAAATAGACACTGACATAGAGTCTAGTATTACTTGACTGAATCTATAACACAAACTGTGTTCACCACATTTCATTTAAGGTGATTAAGGACAGATAGTTAAATTTTTCTACAATGAAAAAGCATACAGGATATTTCCATTGAATTTTGCCTAGCCTTGCTTTCCAAAAAGGTACTCTTATCTAAGATGGACTGCAGTTTCGACCTCGCCTAGGACTCGAACCATCACGGTCTCATCAATTGAGAAAAAACAATAACTTATTCCTCATGCCTTCGCTTTATGGCTGGTGTAAACTAACCCGGAGGCCAATAGTGAGAGGATATTAGGTCCTGCTGTTGCGGAAAAGTCGCTATTCGCCAGCCGCGTCAATGAGGCGTCGCGACTGCTGGCAGATGAACTGCCACAACCGGCAGTAACAGAGCATGTGCTGTTAGTTCCGCTGATGTCAGGGTAGGTAGGTATCTTGTATCCGGCATGTTTTGCGAGGAGGGAACCAAGAGAGGTGGGCAATAGTCCGAGAGCAGCTGCCGTCTGTAGCTGGATTTGGTTCTGTCTCTGTATCTGAAGTTGGTGTTGCTGTTGCCTCTGCAAAGGATAGA